ATTAAAAATGCCATTATTGTCTTTAACAAAAATAATATCATTAGGGTCTGTTATATAGTGTTACACGTCTAAAATTATCATTCTTCTTTCTTTAATACAACTTATTAATTCATTTTTTAGTACAATACTTAAAAAAGTGTTTTGGTTATTTAGCTCGTCTAACATAAATTTTAATGTAAAATCGTCTACATGTAAATTAACCTTTTCAATGCAGAGTGTTTCAACGGCCAATCTAATAGATTGCAAGCTTAATATTATATTTGAAAGTAATTTTACTTCATTTTCATTTTCATTATAATCAATGTCAATTTTCAAATCTATCAAACTTTTTCGAACAGCATCATTAAGTTTTAAAATCTTTCCAGTATGCTTAATAAACTATTCCATCTAGTTTTACGGTCTAAAATTAAAGAAAGTTCTTTTCCGACAGTTTCTTTAACGTATTTTTGCAGTAGTTTATCATTTTTGGTTGGTGATTTTCTGAAAAGTTTTACAACTTTCCGATTTTTTGTAATTAAAGAATTTAGCTCCGCGTTTTGTAGAATAAGTTGGGTAGTGTCGATATCTTCGTGGTCTACTTCAAAACTTTTAAGTTCAATTTCCAAATAATCAGAATCAACATTAAGCAATACATTACCATCATGTTCATTAACATCTTTTACATCTGTTAAACTAATATTATAAAGTACTTTTATAATTGCCATTTTTATGCCAAGTACGATACGTAACTAATGGTTTTAATTAAATAACATTACCGTTCTCTTATTAACTGCAGCTCCGTCTGATGTTATGCACAAAATATTTGACGAAGCTATATTAAACTCTTTAAACTTTTTTTTAATTAGTTTTGCGCATACCTCAGCAGGTGCGGATCTGAGAATCCGATTCAACCCAAGATTCCAAAAATTAGCGTCATCTTCATAAAGAATAATATTTATATACTGGCGGTTTTTTATTTGATGTCCGTTCATCTATGGTAAGGCTTTAAGTTTTTTTATTGAGCTTATTCCGTGAAATTTACTTTTCAACTTCATTCCTTATTTTATCGGCATAACCCATTACTTTTTTGTGAAAGGTTTTAGACGATTTTGGTAACTCTATGTACCCTTTTGTTTTTAGTAACATCTTTAAATCTTCAGATGTACAAAATTTATTGAAAGGAATGCCATCTTGAATCTGTACTTTCATTCCTGAAAATACCGCTTTAAGAGATTAATCTCTTTTTTAATAAAAGAAGTAGTTTTCGATGCTATTGCAATTGCCGGTTCTTTTGCGCGTCTTCTACATATTTTTTAAAACATAAATTAGTTGTTAAGTTTATTCATGCGTTAAGTTCAAACAAAAGAATGCTTTACACTTTTATATTTTTAATTTTATTCTATTAAAAAGAAAATAAATAACTTATTTCTTATTTATAGTAACTTCTTTATTAGATAAAAATATTCAGCAATTAGAAATTAAAACAATCCTTGCATGAAAAAAAGCTTGATTTACTGGTAAATTACCAAAATTTACTGGTAAAAAACTTGATCCAAATTTAGGTAATTACCGGTAAACCGGTATTGTAATCCCTAACCACAATAAACACGTCTTTTCTATTCAAACCAAAGCCTATATCACTCATAAATCTTAATAAATCTACAATAATAGCTTCCGTTTCTTGGCGCTCCTCGGTCATTAGATGACCCTTTTGTTCTGTCAAAAATAGTAGATTTCGCCATATAAAATTTAGCAGCTTGTACATATGACATTTTTTTTTATCAGTAATAGCTTTAATAGCTAGCTTGATTTGACTCTCTTGCTCTTCTTTTTTATGTTTATCCATATTCTATAATACAGTAATACAATTAACACCGATGCATTATCTTTATGCGCGTTAAATAATAAATACCTATATCAGGATTTAAGTGTCTATTTTTTTTTGCTGGTGGCTGATTTATTTTTTATTACTTTCATACATTTAAAACAATAATTAACTGTATCCGGATTTTAGTATCTGTTTTTTTATTGCTGATGGCTAATCTATTTTTATATTTTTCAGGCAGATAAAATAATAACTACCACTATACGGATTAAGGTCTTTTTTTTTTGATTGTAACAAATTTGTTTTTAATTTTTCAATCAATTTAAAGGGTATTTAATTTTTTTTTTTTACTCAAATAAGGCCGCTATGAATTGCAAAGTTGTTTCCTGTCCCCGCCCGCCTTATATTTTAAAATAATACGATTTTGTCCATTATTTGTTTTTTGCGTAATTAATCCATTTTTTTTCACGGCCTACTTAATAACAGGCATGAAAGACACGCAAAAAAAAAAAAATAATAATAATAACTGAAGGCGAATGTTTATATACCAAAAACAAAAATAAACAAAAATGGAGAATGTTGGCTGATTTTTCATCGTTGTTAGTTTTTATTTTTGTTAAACATCATGTGGATTTTTAAATATTGTATATATGCTAAAAACTTAGCTACATATATATATATATATATATATATATATATATATATATATATATATATATATATATATATATATATATATATATATATATATATATATATATATATATATATATATATATATATATATATATATATATATATGTATATATATATATATATATATATATATATATATATATATATATATATATATATATATATATATATATATATATATATATATATATATATATATATATATATATATATATATATATATATATATATATATATATATATTTGTTAAACATCATGTGCATTTTTAAATATTGTATATATGCTAAAAACTTAGCTATATATATATATATATATATATATATATATATATATATATATATATATATATATATATATATATATATATATATATATATATATATATATATATATATATATATATATATATAGTATATATATATATATATATATATATATATATATATATATATGTATATATACATATATATGTATATATATATATATATATATATATATATATATATATATATATATATATATATATATATATATATATATATATATATATATGTGCGTGTGTGTGTATATATATATATATATATATATATATATATATATATATATATATATATATATATATATTGCTTATTACTATAAGGTGATTGATAATCAATACTATCTTATATGCAGTATATTTTCTATATTTAGAAAAAGTGAAATTTTATTTCAAGAGAAAACTAAATCATGATCTTTAAATGTTGTGTAACTGGTTGCAAAGGCAACTATGACAAAAAACATAAAGTAAACTTTATCTGTTACCAGAAAAAGATGGATTCATACAATACCAAGAGAAAATATTCCAGAAAATCCAAATACATTTATTTTCAAAAATCATCGGCCAGTTGATTATGAAACCTGTCAAGTTCATTGTAAAGTTTCGTCCTGTAACTCCACAAACTATTTTTATCTGTGTATTACCAAGTCAAATTCCTACACCTCTACCAAAAAAAAGATCAACAACAAAATCACACCTAACAAATGCTGATAAAATTTTATACCACTGGATTTGTATAAAATTAGTTGTTTTGATGACCTTTGCAAAAAAGTAAGCAAAGAGAATATTACTTTTCCAGTAATACCTTTTGTTATATATTTTCCAGTAATAATATTATTTTAATATAATAATAATATTATTTTAATATAAAACATATTATATTTTTATATAAAAATATTATTTTATAATATATTTTCTAGTAATTTCCTTTACAGTGGGTGATGGTTTAATAAACCAAAGTAAAAATTATATTGATACCTCTGTCGTTCCACAGTTTCTTTTAAAAATTAAAATGAATATGCAATATGAAGGTATTCATTGTGGATCTAGATGCACGATTAAACCACTACGCAGTAATCAAATACATAAAATTTTATCTTACTTACAAATTATTGAAGCTATTTGATATTTATATTCCATCAAAATGGATAAAAAAAAAATTGTCCTCCAACCAGTTATTAGCAAGTATGTATTAACATTTGTTGGTAATAAAAAATATTCACTAGAAATTTAGTAGAAAAAAGTAGGGCTTTTGAGTATTTTGTAATTCCAAGATCTTTTTAAAATCATATTAAAGATGATTATGAAATGCCAAGTATTGTAACATTTGGTAAACTTATATCAAACGTTGCTAAATTAAAAGATGTTGATTTTCTTAACAAATATTTGGTCAAAAAAATATCATTATTATAATTGACGAAGTTTATGCAAACCACAACTAACATATCAAGGCGGTAATTTATTTGGAAAAGCAGTAAATAATCCAGAATATTTTGCAACCACTGTCAGGGCCGTATTAAGGCGGGGGCGGATGGGCCTGCAGCCCCAGGCCCTTATAAAAAAAATAGGCCCTAAGGACCGTGACTTTTTTTTTTTTTTTTTATTACTTTTTTTTTTTTTTTCTTTAGGGAACCAGATAAATATTCCTATGTTTCTCAGTTTTTTTAAATCAATTTATTGGGAGCTGCGGAGGCGTTGTGAATAAATAAATGAATAGAGATATAGTTTCATTTTTAGTTATAAATAAAATTTTTTTTTTATAATGAATTTCTTTACAATGAATTTATAATGAATTCATTATAAAGAATTCATTATAAAGAATTCATTATAAGAATTTATATGAATTCATTATAAAGAATTTATAATGAATTTTTTATAATGAATTTTTTATAATGAATTTTTTATAATGAAATTTTTTTTATAATGAATTTTTTTTATTATGAATTTATTATGAATTTTTTTTTTATAAATAAATTTCATTTTTAGTAAATAAATGAATAGAGATTAAGTTTCATTTTTTATTTTATGATCACTTCCGTTACCGCAGAAAATTACGGCATTGCTCATTCGTTTACAAAATTAAAATAAAAAATGAAAAGGAGCGGCCTGAGCGGTTGGGACAAAATGCAAAAAAAGAAGAAGAATGAGATTCAATTAAATGAATTATTGAACAAAAATAAAAAAATGACTGAGTTTTGTAATACTGCAAGTAGTGTCTCGGTATCAGCTACAGCGAGAGCAAGTTCAAATTCACTAATTATGTCAATAATGTCAGCACCAGTTCCAGGTAGTGCTAATAGTGTCCCTGCAGTCTCAGCTACAGCGAGTTCAAACTCATTTATGTCAGCACCAGTTCCAGGTAGTTCAGCGAGTTCAAACTCACTAACTATGTCAGCACCAGTTCCAGGTAATTCTAATAGTGTCTCAACAGACTCAGCTACAGCAAGTTCAAGCGTCTCAACTATCTCAGCAGTGTTACTCCTGGCTCTGACGACCCACACTGTCAACACCGATGTGGCTAAGTGGATTATAACCGACAACCTGCGTGAGTATTTCAGCAAAAGTGCAGATGGGTTTTTATCATGCCAACATATGGATAGCGATTTTAAATTATCTACTAAAGTACTGCCTGGTGACACTTTTAAGTTTAAACGACAGTGTACAAAGTCCCTTTTTTTCCGGGAAAAAGTGAATGGTGAGAAAATTAAGAGAGACTGGATTTGCTATTCCCCATCAACTGGTAAGGTTTTCTGCGCCCATTGTAAATTATTTAATTCAAAATGTGGAATTGGAGCATCTGCTTTGATGTCATCAGGATATGATGATTGGAAACACCCTGCAAGAGACTTAGCTCGCCATGAAACAAGTGAAACCCACATTCAATCAATTGAAACCCTTTTAACACGTAGGAAAGCTGGAGAGCACATTAGTAAAAGGCTCACAGAGCAATTTGAATCAGAGAAAAAGTACTGGAATGGCATACTGTTGCGTATTCTTACCGTAATCAAAATGTTAGCATCGCTTGGGTTGTCATTCCGTGGCAGTAACGAAATTGTGGGTTCTGTCAACGAAAAAGAAGCAAAATACTTTGCAGTTAGTGTTGACTCAACACCAGATATTTCACATGTAGATCAGCTTACCATTATATTCCGTTACATGACTTCTAAAGGACCAGCTGAACGTTTTGTGACATTTATCCCTATAGAAAAGCACACTGGGGAAGGATTAGCAACAAAGTTACTTGATTTTATAGAAAATACTGGCATTTCAATTAAAGACTGCCGAGGTCAATCCTACAATAATGCTGCCAACATGAGTGGTCGAACATAATAACTTAGCTGAATACATACCATGTTGTGCTCATTCGCTAAGCCTTGTTGGTCAATGTGCTGTAGGATGTTGTTCTGAGGCTGTAACGTTTTTTGACTTTGTAAATAAGCTGTTTGTATTTTTTTCTGCCTCCACCTCTCGTTGGAATTGTTTGATGGCAGTTTTAAAGCCACTTAATATGCCTACCTTAAAGAGGTTATCTGATACCAGATGGTCAGCACATTATGATGCTGTACACTCCCTCCAGGTTGGCTATACGCAAGTGAAGTCTACACTGGATATCATGTGTCAAGATATGTCTCAAAAGCCAGAAACACGACTTGAAGCCGCAGGATTGTAAGATATAATGAGTCATCATGAAACAAGTATCCTAGTTCAATTGTGGTCAAAAATTCTGAATAGGTTCAATTTAACTAGCAAGTACTTACAAGGGGCAGACATGGATCTCAACACCGCTACGGAACTGCTTCGTTCTTTGGGTGATTTTGTTCATTCTCTTCGGAGCCAGTTCACAGCATTTGAAAAGGAAGTAAAGGATCTGGGTACCGATTCGTACAAAGGTGAATCAAGGCGAAAGCGCAAGAGGAACCAGAGATGGGATTATGGTGACTCAGAAGATCTAGAGTTATCCCCTTCTGATAAGTTTAAAGTTCAGTGTTTTTTGCCTATAGTTGATCAATTGTTAGTTGCTCTTAAACAGAGGGCTAATGCATATGATACAGTCAGCAAAAGGTTTAGTTTTCTTAAAAATCTACAATCTTTGTCCAATGATGGTATGAGAGATCATGTTTCATTTGTATGTGAAACATATTTTGAAGATGTTGATCCTAACTGTCATGGTGAATTTATTCACTTCACTTCTCTGTTTGCCAAATTGTCACCGCCCAATCCAACTGATTGTGTTGAACTGCAAATGTACACCTTTCTAGTTAAGAATAGTTTGACCGATACCTTTGTGAATGTCTACACTGTGTTGAGAATTTATTTGTCTCTTATGGTCACAAACTGAACTGGAGAAAGATCTTTTTCAGTCCTTAAAAGAGTAAGAATGAACTTAGAACAATGGGACAACCTCGCTTAAATGATTTGGCTTTATTATGCATTGAAAGTGACATAGTTAGATCAAGAGATTTTACCGTAGTGATCAAGAAGTTTGCTTCAAAAAAGGCCAGAAACGTCAATATATAAAAAACTATTTTAAAGTTAATTGATTAACTAAATAGTACATAAATTATGCTACAGTTTATATTTATTGTTTTTTTTTTATACTTTCAAAAGAAAAATATATGAAGATTCTAGCTTCAGCTAAATATTTGACACCATCAACTATACTAAAAATGGTATATGTTTGCTTATATTGCTAAATGCTATCCTATTCCAATATAACATAAATATTGTTATTGGTGCTTTTGTAATGTTAGACTGTACTAAGGGCATACATGTACAGTACATGTATGCCCTTAGTACAGTCTAACATTACATAGTGACAATTTGGCAAAGGTCAAACAGAGAAGTGAAGTACATGATGTACTTCACTTCTCTTTTTGACCTTTGCCAAATTGTCACCGCCCAATGATCTATATCCTGGAAAACATATGAAAAAATAATTACATGATAAAACAACAATACAATACCTTAAGAATTTTGATGAAATATTGTTTATTTTTATTTTTTTAATTTTTTCATTTAAATACCAATATTATTGGTATTTTCTTCCTTTATTGGAGGTGAACACATTATCAATTTGATACACGTACTCCACTGTCTCAATAGTAAATATACTTACAGCTCAGCAGTTGCTTTCTTAAGTCATGATTCAAGACCTTTTGTCAGTTTACATATATATGGGTGTCTGGGCCAAAGGGGTGTAGCTGTACCTAACCAGTTGGTAAAAAATTATAAAAAAAATGCTCTAAAACATACCTAGATTGTGTCCTTTTATTAGCAAGACTTAAAAAAAAATTTCTGGGGGGCGCTTCCCCCCTGACCCTCCTACTTGGGGGTCAGGGGGAATATTATATAAAATATTAATAGATCCAAGGCAAGACCTAGCAAAATCCTACAACTCCCCTAGCCGCTCTAGCTATAACTTGGCTAATAAACTTTTTAGTCACTATTATACATTATTATTGTTTTAAATAGTGCTATTACTAATAATTAGGCCTATTTACCTATTTACTATCTCTGCGAGAGAAAAAAAAACATTAGTCTACACCAAACAATTTAATTGCATTAATGCAAATACATAAACAAAAACATTTTCGGCCATATTCAAATGCTTTACCAAAAGGGTAAGATGATATAGTGCATCAATTTGCCCCTAGTGGTCTGTATCAACGTGCCCCTTTAGACCGCCTTGCATTAAATTCGAATTAAATTTTAACAGAAGCAAGGAACAAATAAATAACGTATGCAAAATCATTTAGCGATGCTTTCTTAAACTTAAAGAAGGGTTGACGAGCTAAATGTACTTACCTTTTTTGTAAAATCTCTTACGAAACACATTGTCAGTTTTTTTCAAAAATTGCTCAATTTACAAAATGCTTCCCAGCTTGATCAACTTTGAAATGAGTGGAAATCTTTTAACATCGGACGTTAGGGAACTAAAAAGCTATTTCCCGTACCAAATCTTATTCGCACAATTAGTGTAATAGCTGTTTTATTAGCTTTGTATCAATTGCCCCCGTATCAACTTGCCCCGCCACCGTCCCCTAAATTAAATCTCCTGTGTAAAACAACTATAAAAAAGCGTGTATGCAATAACTATAATTTAAAATCTTTTAAGGAACAAATTTCGAATCAAAACTGGAGCAATATTAACTTTAATGATGATATAAACCTGATCTACGATTTTTTGTATAAAAAATTTAAATCCATCTATAACACAAACTTCCCTATTCGCGAAGTAATCTTTAACGTCAAGGACGTGTCATGTCTATGGATAACTAAAGGACTTAAAAAATCATCGAAAGTAATACAAAAACTTTATATTAAATATCTAAAATATAAATCAGCCAATCATAAAAAAAACTATTTAATTTATAAAAATAATTTCGAAAAACTCAAAAATGCGAAAAGAAATTACTACTCCGACTTGTTTGCAAAGCATAAACATAACTTAAAGCGTATTTGGCAACTAATGAAAGAGATCACCGTAAAAAATAAGAAAATTACAATATTACCAAATGCAATAAAAATTAAAAACAAATTATTTAATGACCCATAATAAAATTGCTTTTGAATTTAATAAATTTTTTTCTTCAATCGGAATAAGCTTATCAAATAAAATTCCTTATCTTAATGACAAATCAATTGATGAGTTTATAACATCACCTAATTTAACTTTAAATTTTTCAAACCTAACATACAGCGAATTTGAAGCAGCGTTTAAATTATTAAAACGGAATAAGGTAATTGAGGCTGATTGCCTAAGTGGAAATGTTATAATAGACTCCTTTGACGTTTTGAAAGATATAATCGTTAAAATTTGTAAAGCCTCTATTGCTCAAGGATCCTTTCTAGACTCTCTAAAAGTAGCAAAAATTACTCCTATATATAAATCAGGTGACCATGGTAACATTAAAATCTCCTATCTATACATTACAAACTATCTACTGGAAGAACTATTTCAGTTCTTCCAGTTTTCTCTAAAATACTAGAAAGAATAATGTATAACAGAGTCTACAATTATTTTGTTGATACTAAACTTTTATATAATAATCAATTCGGCTTCCAGAGAAACTATTCTACTGAACACGGCACTCCAACTAACACGCAGCATTTGTAATTATTTTTAAAATTCCCATTATACCCTAGAAGTATTCATCGATTTGTCTAAAGCTTTGGATACTGTCGATCACTACATTCTATTAAAAAAATTAGAACTCTATGGAATTAAAGATAAGTCCTTAAGCTGGTTCAAAAGCTTAGTAATCGTAAGCAGTTTGTAAATATCCAAGATTCTTCTTTTCCTTTATTAATGAATGTAACATGTGGTGTTCCACAGGGATTGGTAGTTGGGCCCCTATTTTTTTTAATATATCTAAATGACCTCAACAAAGCCTCTAACTTAACCACTATAATTTTTGCTGATGACACAAACCTTTTCCAATCTCATGAAAATATAAATACACTTTTTGATAAGACACAAGAATTAAATAAAATCTCATATTGGTTCAAGAAAAAACAAATTAAACACTTTTTTACCCAATATTTAGAAAAAAATGTTTACCAATTACACTGCCCGACCTCTTCATTGATAATACAATACTAAAAAGAAAAAAAGTTACAAAACTTCTCGGAGTTCTTGTTGACGAAAACTTATCCTCCAAACAACACATCGATAATATCTCCCTGAAAGTTGTTAAAAGTATTGGAATTATATGTAAAGTTCGACATATTTTAAATAAACAACAATTAAAACAACTATATTATTCGTTTATCTACTGCCATTTAAATTATGCAAATATTGTATGGGGAAGCGCGCACAAAACTAAACTTAAATCTCTTTATCAGCATCAGAAACACTTATCTCGCCTAATTAATTTTGTAAATCGTTTTTCAAATTCAAAACCACTTCTAAGAGAAATGAAAGTCTAAAATGTATACGAACTAAATGTTTATAATATTTTATGTTTCATGTTTAAATGTAAAAATCATTTATCTCCTGATGTATATTATAAACCTTTATAATATAAAACCCATAAACAAATATAATCTTCGCAATGAAAAAAATCTACAAGAACTTTTCTGCCAAACTAAATTTAAATATCTAATTATTTCTTATCGTGGTCCTTATTTATGGAATAAAATAGTTTTGCCAAATTTTGATTTGTCATTGAAATAGACTTTAACTTCTTTCAAACGAATATTAAAAGAAGTTATTTTTTCAGCAGAAACTATTTTTTTTTTTTTTAAGTTCTTTTCTTCATATATTTCATATAGTTTATCCAGAATATTTATATTTTAAATGCACAGTTATATATAGTTTATGTTGATAT